CCGGCGGCGCCGGGGCGGAGGGCTGCGCCGTGGCCACCTCTTCATGATCGACCTGGCAGGCTCCGAGCGGGCGGCGCAGGTACAGCACCCCCCTGGGGGGCTGCAAGGCTGGGGAGACCCCCGGCCCCTCTTTTGCCAGGTTTTTCCTTCTGCTTTCCCCTCCCTGCCCAGACGCAGAACCGCGGGCAGAGGATGAAGGAGGGAGCCCACATCAACCGCTCGCTGCTGGCCCTGGGCAACTGCATCAAGGCCCTGAGCGACCAGGCGAGCACCAAGTACATCAACTACCGTGACAGCAAGCTGACCCGCCTGCTCAAGGTGCAGCCGGGGGTCCCGGCTCCCCCCCGACGGGGTCCGAACTGGGGAGGGGGCACAGGCTGCCCCTGCCCTGGACCCTCTCAGCCATGCTCTCCATGGCCAGGACTCACTCGGAGGCAACAGCCGCACGGTGATGATCGCCCACATCAGCCCGGCCAGCACCGCCTTTGAGGAGTCCCGCAGCACCCTCACCTACGCCCACCGCGCCAAGAGCATCCGCACCACGGTAGAGCCGGGAGCGCAGGCACCCTCCTCCCTGGGCGCCAGCCCTCCTCTGGCCCCCTCCCCGAGCAGCCCTGACCCCACTGCCCCCCAACAGGGAGGGCACGAGGTGTTCGTCCTTACGCTGCCCCACGGGTGCCTGGAGCAGGGGGACCGCTTGGGGCACTGCTCTGCTGGCTGTGGGGTGCTATAGGACCGGCTCCATGGCCATGCACTGCTTGGGGACACTGCTTGGGGACCCTGTGGGGACATGCTCTACAGCCATGCACTGCTTGGGGACACGGCTTGGGGACCCTATGGGGAAACAACCATGCTCTGCCTGGGGACCTTGCTTGGGGATCCTACTCAAAGACATACTTGGGGACCTGCTCCATCAGCTCTGTCCTGCTCAGAGACCCCACTTAGGACCCTGCTTGGGGCCGGGCTGTGCCGGGGCCATGGGATGCTCACAGATGCCCTGTCCCAGGTGAGGCGCAACCTGCTCAGCATCTCGTACCGCGTGGCACAGTATGGCAGTGCCATGGCTGACCTGCACAGGGAGATCCAGCACCTCAAGGGCCAGGGGGACGCCAAGCCAGGGCAGCCGGGGCAGGGTGAGTGCCGGGACACCCCCTATATCCAGGGTATGGCCCGGCCCCCCCCCGCCCTCCCTCAGCCCTGCGGGGCTCAGCGCTGACACCCCGTGCCTCCAGCCCAGGTTCAACTGCGCGGTGCCCGTTGCACCCACCCAGAGCTGGGCCACATGAGGGAGGAGCTGAGCGGTGGCTGCCACGAGCAGGAGGCCCTGCGCCACCTCCTCCTCCAGCTGGAGGGCACCGAGCTGCACGCCCAGCACCTCCTCGCCCTCGCCCGGTATGTGGGTGCAAAGCCCCCCAGGGATGGTGTCCCCCGGCGAGCTGGGCCAGGGGTGATACCACCTCCTCCTCCCCGCAGCAGGATGCAGCGGGGCTGGCTGTGGAGCAAGGAGGGGCCGGGGGAGCCAGACAGCCCCGGTGACAGCGAGAGGGACGCAGACACGGGGGACAAGCTGTTGGACGTGCCAGAGCCACCCGACGTGGCCGCTGCCCACGATAGCATCGCAGCTCTGGTGGAGGAGCAGGGCAGGCTGCAGCAGCGGAAGGTTTGAGAGCCCCGTCCCCACCGCCAGCAGCCGAAACCCCATCACCGGGGAGCCGAGTTTAACAAGTCTCAGCCCAGCAGCACGGGTCCCCCAGCAGCACCGAGGGGATATGGGATACTCATGGACTGGGGTGTGGGTCAGGGGCAAGGGGCCCTGGCAGGGATGCTAGTGCCACGGGCAGGGATGCTGATCCCGTGGCAGGGATGCTGGCTGCGGGCAGGGACCCTGACCCTGCCGCATGCCTGCAGGCAGAGCTGGCGCGGCGCTTCCGGCAGAGCCAGCAGCATGCACAGCGGCTGGAGGAGGCCCTGCGGCATCGGAGCAGCTCAGGGGAGCAGCGGGAGGTGCTGGCCCTGCTGTGCCGTCTGCACCAGCTGGAGCTGGAGACAGCAGAGACACGCTCCCATACCCTGCTCAAAGGTGGCCTCCGGCACCTGCCGGCACCCACCATGCAACACTTCGACCGGCACCGGGCCCTCTGTGCCTGCATCATCCAGCAGCAGCGGCAGCTCATCGCCGGTGCGTCCCTCCCGTGACTTCTGCCGTGACAAAGGGGCCTCTTGTGTGTTGTCGCACTGGGAGTCCTGCAGTGTCACCGGGTTATTGCAATGGGACGTGCCGCAATGCAAAGTCCCCCCGGTGTCGTGACATAGCCACGATGCTGCCACCTGAGCCCGGCGTGGCGCACAGCCCGATTGATGCTCACCATGCTGCCCTCTCACTGGCAGACCACCGGCTGTCGGTGCCGCGGCCACTGGAGGAGCTGTATGAGACCTACCTGTGGGAGCTGGCGGGGGACCCCGGGGACACCGGCACCCTTGAGGTAGGGCAGGGTGGCAGGGCACCCCCCCCACACCCCAGGCAGGACACTCACCCCCTGTCCCCTGCCCAGGGCACGTCCCTGCCCAAGATCCCGCAGATGACGGGCACAGAGAGCCTGCCGGACTCGGACCGGGACAGTGTGTGGGCACAGAGCTGCAAGCACCCCACGCTGCCACGGCGTGATGCCCTCCCACCCCTGCGCCCCACAGGAGACAGGTACGGGTGGGCATCCACCACCCCCTGGGCACACGGGGCTGCACATGCCCCACAGCCACCGTGGCAGTGAGTAAGGGGTGTCCCCTCTCCGGCAGCACCCTGATCCCCATGTTGAAGAAGACCCCGCAGGCACAGCAGCTGAGGAGCATGGTGGTGCCCACCCCACCTCCCGGCCGGGGCACAGTGGCCCAGGTGAGCAGAGCTGTGCCCCCAGCACTGAAGCCCCGAGGTGGGGATGCTTATGGGTGCTGTGTGTCCCAGCAGCACACATCATGGACCAGCCTGAGCACCCGGCATGACTCCTCCCTGGGCAGTGGGACCGTCTCTGAGGCGGCAGTGGCAGCAGGCAGGGGTGAGCCAAGCGGCCGGTGGGGCTGGGTGGGCAGCCATGCCCCGCTGATGGCTCCACCATGCCGCAGAGCGCCGGGAGATGTCAAACAGCACCAAAAGCATCACGGCTAAGGCTGCCTGGCGCCGGTCCTGTATCCCAGAGAGCGCCCGCCCGCAACCGCCGGGGTCTGTGGAGGAGCGGGGTGGCCCCGGGCTGCGGCACGCCGCCAGCAAGGACAGCCTGGCTGGGACAGCCACCCGCTCCCCAGGCCCCTGGCTGCGGGTGTGCAAGGAGGGCAGCAGGGAGCCAGCGAGGAGGGAGGAGTCACTGGATGGCAGAAGGAGATCGAGGCGATCACGGTCCTTCGAGGTCACCGGCCGCAGGGTAGGTGCAGGCATGGTGGGGCTGTGCCCCCGGCGAGGCGGCACTGTCTTGACCCGGGAGGCAGTGGAGCTCCACCGGCAGCAGTGCCGTGCCCTGGGGAGGAGGGCAGGGTGGGAAGGCCACCCCCAGCTCCTCTTGGCATCCCTTTGCCCACCATCAGGGCGTCAGCACCCTACAGCATGCGTCCCATCCCCACCCCCCAGGCAGCACGGTTCCTCCCCAAAGCGCCATGCCTGTGGACCCTCTCTCCGGCAGCTGGTGGCCCCCAGGGGCCCCCTGTTGTCGTCCAACACGCCGCAGAGCCGCTCCGAGCACGCCGTGCCGGCGGGGGTGCAGGCAGCCAGCATCCAGGGACCCCCCAAAGCCCTGCCTGGAGCAAAGCTCCTGTATGGCCAGCTGCCAGGTGAGCCCCCGGCTGGGGACGGGGTGCAGCGGCCATCGCCCCCTCCCCACAACCCAGCCCAGCACCCGGGGCTGCTGCTGAAGCGCCCCTTCCCCAGGTGCTGGGGTCCTGTCTCTGCCTCTCCCCCTCCAGCTCCCTGCCAGCCCCGGGAAGGGGCAGCGCCCACGGCTGGGCTGTGTCACCGGGAACGGTGCCAGGGCCTCCAGCAAGGATGGAGGGAGTCACTGGTACTGAGCCGAACGCCTTGCCGGAGGGGGACCAGACCCTGTGCCAAACCAACGGGCTCAGCGCCCATCCTGCCAGCCCCAGCACCACGCGGTATACCCCGTGCCGAGGGCTGCCCGTGGCACCCCAAACCCGTGCAGCCCCCTGGTGCCACCCCTGCCGTGGGCACGGCTGGCAGAGAGGGGCAGGGAGCAGGGCGGGGGGCCAGCCCTCCCCGTGCCAAACCCACCCCGAGGCAGGGACCCAAGTCCCCGGGGAAGGATGCAGCCGAGCCGGGCAGTGACCCTGACCAGAGCGTCGCGGCTGCTCCGGGAAGGGCCCCTGTGCGTGCTCAGCACCCAGCAGACGCAGCCAGCCACCCAGCGCCGCCGGGTACCGATGAGGCCACCTGGGCGCAGGGCATCTGGACGGGCGTTTGTCCTTCCGAGGGGTTACATTAAAAGGAGACGTGCTGAGCCAGGGAGTGGTGTGACTGCTGTGCACAGCCCCACGCGCCCCTGCCTGTCCCTGGGGATGGGGAACCCCCCAAAGATCCCCCCGCACGCCCCATGCTCGTTTTCTGCTTTTATTAGGAAGAGAGTGGGGTGTGCCCGGGCAGGGATGGGGCAGCTGCCGGCCGTGAGCGAGGACGGTGCCCCCAGGCCTCCTCCACCGGGGGAGGCAGCCGGCCTACCCACCCCACCCTGGGCATGCACCCAGCTCACCGCCGAGCGCTCTGCTGCCGGGGAACCCCTGCCGGCATCCAGACCCAGTGCCGTGGCCTCGCTGCCCGGCACAGAGGGACCCCAGTGCCGCAGGGGTGGCATCACAGGAGGGCCGGGCTGTCCCTGTCCCCACCTTCTCACCCGTTGGGGTTTGTGAGCCCAGGACGGGGCTGCACCTGCGGCTGTGGGCTGCACATTTCGCCTCCTGCACCCCCTACACGGGGCTGGGGGGGTCCCAGTGTCCCCCGTCCCCAGCTCCCCAGGGGCACCCAGGGACAGCGATGGGGATGGGACGTGGCAGGGGGACGATCAGGGAGGGGTAGGCGGCAGAGAGCAGCCCCAGGGCCCCCCGGCATGGACACCTCTGTCTACCTATGAGGACCAAACGCGAGCCCCCCCGCGGGGCTGGGGCCAGTCCAGCTGCGGGACCCGGCTCTGCCTCGTTACTTCTTCACCTTGATGAGGGAGTGGTAGACGGGCTTGATGATGATGTGGAGGTGCAGGGAGTTGTCGATGAGGTACTCGGAGGTGCGCTTCTGCAGATCGGCGTGGGCGAGGAAGTCAGCCACCTCGTCCGAGCTCTGGTGGAAGCTGTAGGCGTGCTTCACCAAGACGCGGCCCTGCTGCCGCACGCCCACCAACACCGTCTTCTGGAAGCTGACGCCGGCAAAGTCGGGGCTGCTCATGGCCGGGGTGATGACGAGCCGGGGGCGACCGTCCTCGATGCGTACCGGCTGAACGGCACCCGAGACTGAGTCCGAGTAGACGGGCCGCAGGCTGATGGGCAGCCAGCGCGGCGAGAAGAGGACATTCCAGGTCACCCGCTTACCGGCGTCGTGGCTGCTGGGACCCAGCTGGGTCTGGAAGCTGGTGCTGCGGTCGTCCCGCGCTGGGTTGTTGATGACCCACTGGGAGCCCCAGCTGGGCGCGAGGTAGTTGCGGGGCAGGAACATGCTGCAGTTGACGTCGAAATACTTGGCAAAATGGAGGGGGGAGGCAGCGTGGAACTGGAAAGCCTGGAAGAGCAGGTCCTGCACCGCACTGTAGTGCCGTGCCAGGACCGCCGACTGCGCCTGCAGCCGGAAGAGCTGGCTGGGCGCGATCATGGGGTAGCGGATGGCACGCAGCACCCGTTCAGCCATGGGACCCTCAGGCTGCTGGCGGCCCAACCAGCCCTCCACGGCGGTGTAGAGCTCCAGCTCGCTGTGCAGCACCAGGTCGGAGCGCTCCAGCAGCAGCAGCAGCAGCTCCACGCTCACCGAGCCCCACTCGGCGCTGCCCAGCACGGCCGAGAGGTTCCAGGCCAGGAACTGGAGGCAGCTCTCCTGCAGCGCCGCGTCCCCGATGCGCACGGCGTAGTGGTACCAGCCCACCACGTGGCCCTGGCTCGACTCGCTGGCCAGGTGGGTCTTCATGTAGTCGGCCACGCCACGCTGCAGCCCCCACACCCGGTACTTGCTGGCCAGCTGATGCATGGGGATGGCTTGGTGCAGCAGGATGGAGACCCCTCCGCAGTACAGGTACCTGGGGCAGAGTGCGGGGCAGTGACGCTGGTGTCCCCCGAACCCCTTCCCAGCCCAGGCTCTGGCAGCGCAGTCCCCAGGGGAGCATCCTCCCTCCTGGGCTACATCTCCTGAGGTGTCCCCTTCCCGTGGGGCCCCCATGATCCCCAGGGGAGCATCCTCCTTCTTTGGCTGCATCCCTCCCAGTATCCCCATCCCGTGGGGTCCCCATGGTCCCCAGGGGAGCATCCCCCATACTTGGCCGCATCCCTCCAAGCATCCCATCTTGTGGGGTCCCTGTGGTCTCCAGGGGAGCATCCTCCCTCCTTGACTGCGTCCCTCCCAACATGCCCATCCCATGGGGTCCCTGTGGTCCCCAAGGGAACATCTCCCCTCTTTGGCTGCATCCCTCTGGGCATCCCCATCCCGTGGGGTTCCCATGGTCCCCAGGGGAGCTGCATCCCTCCTGATGTCCCCATCCCAAGGGGTCCCCACGTACCTGATAAACTTCTCAAAGAGCGCAGCAGTCTCAGGCGGCTCGTGCAGGGTGACGACACTCTGGTTGCGCAGGAGGCTCTCGAAGACCTCGCTCTGGAGGCTGAGCAGCAGCTGGTGGGTGTGGAAGACCTTGGCCTCATCGGAGGCAGCCGTGCGCACCCGCAGCACCGAGTCGCTGCCGTTGCCGTGCTGCAGCAGCTCCTGCAGCCGCTGCAGCAGCGTCAGCGAGTGGTTGATGGTGGCTGCCGTGGCGTCGCCACTAAGGTCGGCTTTCTGGGCTGTGGGGAGACAGGACCGTCCCAGTGCTGCACCCCAAGAACTGGGCACGGGGTGCTGGGGCACAGCAGAGTGGGGCCCGGCTGTGGGGCGACGCGTGGTTAACAGGGGGTTGGGGAAGCCTGGCTTTGTGCGCATCCAACCTCCGCTCCCCCCAGTGCCGAAGGGCTGGCTGGTGCCAAGGGGGTGTGGGGAGGACGAGGGGACATGGGGACATTTGTGTCCTTGGGAGCCAAAAACCTGCTTTTCTGCAGCAGAAGGGGTGAGACCACCATGTCCCAGGCTGGGACACGCTGGGAAATGGCCCTGTGCCGGGCACCGCTGGCTCACAGCCCAGTCTGCCAGCCCTGGTGCGGGCAGAGCAAGCCCTGGGCATTGCCCTGGACCCCCTGCGTCCCAGACCAACACGCGAGGCACACAAGAGCCGGTGGGTGGGGGGGGGCCAGGAACACTCTGCCCCCACACCCGGGGACAGGGTCCCCGCAGTCCGAGCAGCCTGGGGACACCAGCTGCCTCAGCATCGCTGCGGGTCGGTGCCGCTGAGCAGGCAGCTGCCGTGCCGTGCCTGCTCCCGGTGTGATCCCTGCCTCCTCACTGACGCCGTGAACCAGCACCTCCTGCCCGGCCAAGTTTCGCTCCCCTCCTCCGGCTGTGTGCCGGCAGCCCAGCCTGGTCCCAGCTTGGGCATGCACCGGGGGTGACTGTCCCCCCATGTCCGTGTCCCCGCAGTGCCAGGCTCCCAGTGGGGATAGGGACCAAGACAGGGGTCTCCGTGCTCTTGTTGGCATGGGGAGCCTTCCTCCCTCTCCTCCTCTCCCTCGTGCCTGGCATAACTCCCACCCCCTCCCCGGAGCATCCTTCCCCCAGAGTGAATTTGGCCCCGTCTCTCTCAAATCCCCGTCTTGCTGGCCAGCGATCCGGCGGATTACCCTTCTCGGAGCGGGATTAAGCCCTGCTGAGCAGGGATGGGGAAGGGGATCGGGAGCCCCTCGCCCCGTGATGCCAGACATCGCTGCCCGTGGCACTGAGCCTTCCCTGGGCAGGGGCAAGCACAGCCTGGCTCTCGCCGCCGGCACTTCCCGGGTGCCGTGGGGCACACCTGTGGGGCGGCCACAGCTGCCCTCCGCCGCCGGCACGTCCCGGGTGCCGTGGGGCACGGCTGTGGGGCCCGTCCAGGAGCCACACCACAGCTGCTGGAGAGCCGTGCTCAGCCTCCCCTGGGCATCACCAGACACCCGCGCTGCGGCTGAGCCCCACCCTGGCACCCGGCGAGGGCAGAGGGACCCACAGCACGGGGACCCCTCCACGCCTTCCCCCCGCCATGGCCACCCTTACCGGCTTGCACGGTGGGGAGGAGGAGGAAGACGGCAGCGGCAGCGCAGCCCCAGCGGCGGGCAGCCACGGGCCGGGCGCCCGTCAGCCTGGCCATGGCTTCGCAAGCGCATCTGCTGGGTCTCGGCACGGCACGGGCGCACGGTGCCCGCCTGGCGCTTATGTAGGCCACGAACCCTCCCAGCCCGCGCGCCCGCGCCGCC